AGCGTTGGGCCAATAGCTCCCAAGGCAGTTGACTTTAGGGTATTAGCTGTTAAAACACCCCTTCGGGCTTAATTGCTTAGGTTAGGGAGGCTACAAAACCAAACATATCTACATTTTTATTATCATCATTTTTTCTTTTTTCTTTTTTCTTTTTTCTTTTTTTTCATGTTTTTTTTCTTAATTATATACAATCTCTTTTCTTTTTTTCTTTTTTTTTTTTTTTTTTTATACAATCCCTTTCCCTTAGTTGTTACCTTTAACAAAAGAACATAAATAATGTAATAATCCAATATGCAACCCACAATCATATGTTAAAGTATGTGTGTGTAAATTAAGGTTTAAGAATACATGTTAAATAAGTATGTGAGCAGAATTAAGTGATAACAATGCGAGAGTTTGTAAATCTGAATATTTCAAGAAGTATTATAATAGACCTTGTTAAGAATGGTTACTAAGATGCGTCTCAAGAGTCACTTTAACAAAAGAACTCCTTTACTCTGCCATCCTAGTAACAACAATTATGCACATGCTTTATGAAATGAAAAACAATTTTTTTTTTATCAACTACTACCCTCTCCCCCCAACCAAAATATTATTATTATTATTATAGTTATTATTGTTATAGTGGAACCTCTAACCTTGACATTTGTTATTATCATTGTTTAATCCTTACATTAATATTTCATCTCCAAGTTCTTATCATCTTCTTCTTCTTCTTTTTCTTTATTATTATTATTACTACTACTACTAATATTATTATTATTATTATTATTATTATTATTATTATTCTTGTTGTTGTTGTTGTTGTTATTGTTGTTGTTGTTGTTATTGCTATTATTGTTATTTATAATTTGTACAATTAACATTCTTGTGGTTTGACCCCGGTCTTGCCGGGTTATTTATTACTTTGACACTCCTGCACTTGGGAGAAGACATCAATCTTTTCGTCGTGTCAGTCGGAATTTAGCATTTTTATCAAAAAGGTCTTTGATTATGAATTTCTTCAATTTAACCCTTAATTGACACTAAACTTTAATTTTCTTAAAATTTCATCCCTGATTTCAATTAATTGACTTTGTAAAAATTGAGTTTTGGTTATCTAAAATCCTAATTTCTCGATTAAGCCCAAAATGATGTTTTAAACTTAATTTTTCACCAATTAGGTCATTAATAACATTAACTTGACCCATTAAAAGTATAATTAAATCCATGCACCTAATTAAATATTTTAATGTGACCTAAATGAATTCTTAAACATAATTAAAATTTTAATTTAGCTCATATTAAATTAAATTGGCCTATTAAAAGTCTGATTAAGTTTCTAGACTTAATTTTTATGTAAATTCATCTAATAATTATTAATTTGATCTTGAATTTGTATTATCTCTTCAGTCTTAGGTATAATAGAGTATGATTAGGCTCATAATTCCATCCAAAATTATAGCTTAATTCTTTTACAAACCCTCTTTTGTCAGGTTGTTAGTCTTCTTGTTATAATTATTTTTATTTTTTTTATTTTGAAAAAAAAACAATAAATTTAAGGGAGAAACCAAAAATAAATTATGATAATATATAAGAAATAATTAATGATATCCTATTAATTACTCTTCCAGCCTACTTAAAAAAAGGTGATAGACATATGAAGAAAGAGATAAATTAAATTCAGAATAGAATATTTCTCTTATCCTTGTATTTCTTCTTTGTTAAAGTCAGTAAAAAAGACTAGGACTTGATATTTTCTTAGCATTATAGATATTTTCCAATCCAATTCCGCAGTATCCCCGGACAACCTACTCCTAATGGTTCTTGTGCTCAAATAATTTCTATGGTAGTCTAGAGTCATCCCTTTATAATTTTGTATTAATAATTGAGTGGGTGTTTGTTCCCAAAAATAATATGTATTTCCGAAAACATTTTGCATGGACAACTTTTTTTTTTTAATAATTGAGTTATTTCTCAATATTTAGGTGTTAAAATAACCTGCTTTTTTCAATTATGAAGACATATTTTTATTTATTAAAATCTATTTTGGAATACTTTTAATTAAATATATATTTTTTTAATTTTTTTTTAAATCATAATTAATTATATATTAAACCCAAAAACTATTAAAATATAAAATACAGACTTAATCTTTAACTTGGTAGTAATTTGAAAAGGGAGCCAAATAAAACACACACATAAATTGGCAAAGCTCAAACATATACACAAAATAACAAAGCTCAAACATATACATAAAATAGCAGAGTTAAAAATTTTTAAATAAGGGAGCAAATTACTAATAAATTTTTTATATTATATATTATATAGTCACATATTATATATAGAGAAATTAATTTGAAATGTATATACTAACTCATGTCAAGTAAAATTAATTTAAAAATATTTTTAAAATAAAAAAACTTACATTATAATTATTTTTTTGAGTTTTTATATTTTAAAACTATTTTATAATGACTTTATTATTAATTTCATTGAAGATATTTTTTCTCAATATATACAATTAAATTTTTATTCATTTATTTCCAAATCTTTCATGTAGAAACTAGAGAAATTATTGTCAACAATTCTTTGTTGACTTATTGTTTTTATACAAGTGTATTAAATATAAATATTAATATATATTTTTTAATTTTTTATTGTGTCTTTAATTTTTTAAGTTGTTTAGTGTTTCAATTTTAATCACTAGTAAGTTTATCATCATTATTTTTCATATGAAATTTATAACAAAATACATATTAATTTATCAAAACTCATTTCAATTTATATTCATATGCATATAATATTATCCACACATTTAATTTAACAAATTTATAAATTATCATAATCTCTAATATTTTTAATAACTAATTATTAAGAAATAAAATTAAAATTAGACAATAAAATAAATATAAAAAATAAAGAAAAATCACCTAAACACATGAAACATAAAGTATAAAAGGCTACTTATTTAACTAATTAATAATTTATGACGTGAAGAAAAATTTTGTAGAATGAAGAGAGGTAGGAACAACAATTCAAAAAAAAGACGTTTGGATTAATTAATAGTTAATAAATAAAATTAAACTTGTTAAGTTATTATATTAAAATTTTAATATAAAATATGTTTTTAAAAAATAATTAAGGAAGCACTTGCTCTCTTAATCTCCACTGTGGCTTTGCCAATGCGCACGCCTATATATATATATGTTTTTCCAAGTAAAATTTAACATATTTTTATTTAGAAAATGAACTTAAAAAATTAATAAAAATAGTATGCACCAGTTTGAGATAAGAGATATTTTTAATATCATTTTAAGAATATTTTATTCTTGATTAATATACAAATTAGTATCTTTTATTAGAGAATGAATATTTTAGATGGATATTTTTTTACCTCCTAAGTGGTGACAACGCTATCATGATTTAATTTTTTGTTTTTTCATTTGGGCCTTCCCCGACACAACCCAACCAATTCAGCAGGCTCGGAATCATGGGTCGGGCTCCGCTGTTACATAAACAGAAAGGAATAGCGTATTAAATGTCATCTTGTTCACACAGAAATATGACGGGGACGGGAGGCCATGGATGGCGGTGCCAGATTGAAGAGGGAAGACTGTAAGCGAACCAAACACGACTCCGGCTTCTTCAAATGGCAGGTTTGATCACTTTTCCCTTTACAATTTTGTTACCTTTTTAGTTTCTTGCTTGCCGTTGAAAATTGGCTGCGAAAAAACAAGTGTTCTAAACTGCTTTATATATAATATGCCTGCCAAATGGAATCTGGGATCTTCATTTTTTTTTTTTCCAGATCGGTTTCTCACGCTTTCAGTTTGTTGATTCTTTGTATACATGATTCAGCTTCTCATTGGCCCTTCTGACTGGGAAGACTATTTCTCGGGGAAGGAAGGAGCTTCTCGATATAGGATCCACAATCTCCCAGCTACTTGTGGCCCGGGACTATATGAGCTTGGTATTGCTGTTCCTCGCTCTGGGCTGTTGCGGCGTGATGTTGGCAAGCTTTTCGGAGATGACATAGTGGTGGTTTACCTCGGACAAGCTGATAATGTTAGAACCCGACTCCAGCAATACGGTCGTTCAGGTGCCCATTTGGGTAACACTTACTCAACTGGCCATGTGAATGATTCTAAAGATGATTCTCTTCAAAAAGGGCTAGGTTTATTTGAAGAGATATTCTCAAGAGGCCATTCCATTGTGTATAGATGGGCTCCTGTAAGTGTTGCCTTTTACTGTAAGAAAAGTTCTTATTAAATTTTCTCACTTAGATGTCAATGATAAGTACATTTATAGTGGCAGCTGAAATTATGCTCTGAATAATCATTTAGGTTTTAAACTTTTGTGAAATTATTGGGACAAACATGTTTTTCTAGGATCAAACATGGTGTTTGTTTAAAGAATTTCCAGTCTTCTATTCAATAATAGCATTATTGAATTAGATGTCTAAGATTTCCTTAGTTTCCATTCTTTTGTGTGCATAATAGTTATAAGAGCACAAAGGTGGCAGGGAGGTAGTACTCAATATCCTCCCTCGTTCAGAGTTCTAGGCTTCAAAGTTGACTTAGGGGACGGAATTATGCGTATCAACAGTTGTGCCAGATACTTGTATATCATACAAGATAAATCCATATTCACCACCTGCAATTCTGATCCCTGCATTATAAATTCTTGGGCATATAAGAGGGATACGTGCAAATCTTTTGGCATGTAAATTTGGAAATGTATTTCATCTTTCTACACTGTTTTTCGTGAATGTTGAACAGATGAAAGATAAGAGGGATGCTGAGGAAATGGAAGGTAAGCTGCTTGCCACTTTTGATTATGCATGGAATAAAGGTAGTAATGGTACACGCCGTCCCAGTGATGTCCTTCAGAAACTCAAATCAAGGACAACTAGACCTCCAGATATTTTTCAATGGCTTCCATTTTCCAGTCACAAACTAGGAGGTATTAAAATCAAAGCAAGCAAGCCTCTTTCACCAGAAAAGCATGCTGGTGTTGGTGATGAGTATAGCAAAAAATTATTCTTTGGAATTTTTAAGCTCAGCAGATCACAGCCTAAGCTAGTTACAGATAAATATGGCATTAATGAGGACATCGATTGTATATGTGGATTCATCATGGTTGATGGTATACCATGTAGAAGGCCACCAGTTCCAGGGGGAAAGAGATGCGAGGAACACAAAGGGAGGAGAGTTTATGGATCCAGTTACAAATCCATCGCACAAGGAAATTTACATTATCCACATGGAGCAAATCTAGATTCCCCATCTCACAATGACCGAGAACATGAAACCACATGTGGGGTAAATTTAGGTGATGGGACTTTTTGTAGGAAGCAAGCTGTGGCAGGGAGGAAAAGATGCGAAGACCACAAGGGGATGCGGGTTAACACCTCCGTCTCAGATCCAGTAGCAGAAGACAATATTTGTGGAGTGATGTTGGGAAATGGTTCTTTCTGCAGAAAGCAACCCATTCAGGGAAACAAAAGATGCTGGCAGCATAAAGGCCAGAGGGTTGAATGTAACTTGTCTGGAGTAGACAGTTCAGAGCCAGCAGCAGAAGACAAAATCCGAATGTCTGCCCCCAGTTCAGTATTCAATTCTTTTGCTGACAGCGTAAACAACAATGCCTCATCTAAACATAATGCATATAGTACCTGGCAATGTGGATCTTCAAATAATCCTGTCAAGGAACATTTTCCCAATACTTGTGGAGTAATGTTGGGAAATGGTTCATTCTGCAGAAGGCAACCCATTCAGGGAAACAAAAGATGCTGCCAGAGGGTTTAATGTAACTTTTCTGGGGTAGACAGTTCCTCGCTGAAGTTCAATGCACCAATTTGTGAGGTTACATTACGTGACGATTCTGTCTGTTTGAGAGCCCCTGTTCAGGGGAGGAAGAGATGTGACCAGCACAAGGGGATGAGAGTCTACACATCCTATCACTGCTGAGAGGTATGTGTCGAAATTAGTAGAGCCCCCTGAATAATGTAATTTGTAGCATGTTTTCCTTGATATGGTTGTGCGCTATGGCACAAAAGGAACCGTAATAGCCAATTTCAGCTAATATGAGTTTGGGGCGTAGTTGTTGTAGCATGTTGTCCTTCAGAGATTAGGACAATGGTTGTATATTTTCTATTGCTAGACACTGTGCCTTTGTACTGCTGTTGTAAAATGTGAAGACTTTGCTGCACTGCCATTACCACCACCGGTTCCCAATACTCTTTGGTTCCACCTTTATTTCAATCTGTTTACCACCAGGTTCACATTTTTTGTACTCAGAAAAGATTCATTCTACAGCAGCTTCAATGTCAAACGTGACAACCAAATGCCCTAAACCATGCATGTAGCCTTGTGATCTAGCGATCTGGTGTTCTCTCTGTGTTCTCGTCATTCCTTAAGCCTTCTTGCCTTTTCACCTCTACCATTGTGCCATTCAAACTGCAGTATCAGAATGCCACAAATCTCTTAAACCAAAATCTCAACCGATGTGCCCAACAACTACAAAAGAAAATGTCGTTTTTTACCGGAGATTTATCAGTCTCTAACATGAAAGCCAAAATCTCATATCATATCTATCATATTGTTGCTAGATAACTAGTACTTTTGACAACTCTAGAGCTTGCGGTGGAAATTTATGACTTTGTATTGAACTAGCCATTTAAGTTTAACATAACATGCTTATAATTTGCTTGATGTGTTATAGTCTTGATTAATCTTAAAAATAAATAATTAAATATTAAATGAATTTCAAAATTAGTTTTATCTTTATATTATATTTCACCAGTAAGAATTGATGTGATATACTTGCATCTTTACAATATTGTTGTGCATTTATGTAATATTCAAGCAATATTAAGCCTACAACTATCTTGGATCAAATCTTTGGTAATGCTATTAAAACCATTTAAGAGCAACTAAAGCTCATAGAAACATGTATGACCAACATGTTTGAAAGATTTAAGCCTCTAGAGATTTTAAAACGATGCCATTTTAATGTCAATGAAAATTACAACAATAATCATTATATACATGTTCATCATAAATATTACTAATAGGACCAATTTGTACAGTTTATGAGATGTGAGTTCACTTTTCAGCTTTAGTTTTTTTTTTTTTTTCAATTCATACAATACTCAATGTGTTTTCATGTGTATTAACCTCATTCTATCATAAAAACATTCATATAATTATTCATTCATTAAAACATAATGTACATAACATTCTCATATGTAAAATACACTAATTTTTTTTTTAATAATTCAAAATGATAGCTAATCAAGGTTCCTTGCTTCTTAAACACATTAAATTTAGGAGACAAGAACAAGAAAGAAAAGTTTTCTACTCACTTCTTTTCCTTCTCCAATTCTTCTTCAAAATCGACCTCCCTTAACAAAACAAACCTTGAAAATCTTCAATTTCCTTACTTAATTCTTTTCTAACCCCTCTTTGATCCTTTTATTGATCTCTCTTTTATTCTTTAGCAAGAATTTCCATAAATTTACTTCAATATTTCTCTCTCTTTTTCTCTTACAAATGGTCGACTAACTTTTTTTTTATTTATATTGTCTTTATTCTCTTAATTATAATTCTACTCTTGCTTTTTAGTTCAACTATATTTTTTGTTTTGTTTTATTGAGTATTCCTTTTTAGTTTACAGGTTAGACTTCTAGCATTTTTCTAATATCATAATATTTTAATCGGAATTAAACAAGTTAATTTAAAGTTTTCAACATAAAAAAAAAGACCTTGATTTCTCTCATTTCTCTCATGTAATTAGCAAGAACTATTTGAGGAGGAGAAATCATTGCTCCCCTCCTCACATTCTAATGATCCCGTTATAAAATATTAAAAAAATTACCTGAAAATATAATGAAATAATATATATATATATATTAAATTATTTAAAATGAATTTTTATAGTATATATATATATATATAATTATTTAAAATGAATTTTTATGGATTAAAACTTCAAGACAAGAGAAGTTGTAAAAAAATAATTGAGAGAGGATAATAGCTTTCTTGGAAGCCAAGAGCTTCCTCCTAGTGACGTAAGAAAGGAAAGAAATTTTCATGATTTCTTTTGTTTTTTTTTTAAATTAAAACACTTAAGAGAGAAAAATTCAAATATTTAAAGAAGTTTTAAAAGGTTAATAAAAAAAGACTTCAAATTTTGGGAAGGGTTATAAGCTTAAACTTAAAGGTGCTAGAAGTTAGATAGATAGAGAGATAAAAAAGTGAAAAAAAGATTTTTTATCAATTGCTTTGTAATTTTTTATTATTAGAAGGTGTCGATTGCTTTAATCATGATTATTTTTAGCTTTGGTATGTTTTGAAGCTTAGAAAGAATTGCGTATTTTATAGAAAGTTGAATTTTCGATAATGAATGAATTGTGGAAAAATAAGGAAAAATTATGCTCCCTTTTGAATGAATATTTTAGCCAAATTATTATGAATATTCTAGAAATTTTTATCTAAATTGATATGAAATTGATGTATAATCATGTTATATGATGAAATAAATATTTCAATAAAGAATTAATAAAAAATATGAAACTAAATTGACATTTGATGTGCTGCACAAACCCATCAAATATTTAGGATTATTAAATAATTGGATAAATTAATTGATTAGAGAAGTAATGAAATTGACTTTTGTCAAATTCAATCAATCAAACTGATTAATCATTTGGGACACTAATGAAATTAAGTAGAATCTAGTTAACTGATTAGTTGTGCTAATATAAATAAGTTGATTGTTCTAATGGACAATCAATTATTTCTATTTTAAAAATGTATGTATGTGTGTATGTGTTTAAATTTCATTGTTTCATGTTATTTATGATCTTGAGGGTGTTAATTTGTGTTTTAAATATGAGGTTGTTACAATTAATGAAGTTTCATAATTTATTTTAATTTTATTTTTTATAGGGTTATCCTATCATTATGACTAGAGTCACAAATTTAATGGGTTAACTCATTTAACTTGAGATTTTTTTTAATTTTTTATTTCATCCTTTAACGATTGATCGAGAATTATATTTCATAATTTTTTATTTTTTTATATGGTTATTTTAGTTTCATGATCCAAGTTGTGGACATGGCGGGTTAATCTAATTAACTTGGGTTATTATTTTAATTGTTTTTTTTTCTTTCAATTTTATCCTTCAACATTGGGTGTATTAGAAATTAGGCTTCGTAATTTATTTCAATTTACTTCTTATAAAGTTATTATAGTCTAATGACATGGATCACATGACCCAAGTCGTGGACATGGCGGGTTAATCCAATTGACTTGGGTTATTATTTTGGTTCCTTGTTTTATTTTGTTTTTCAATTTTATACTTCAACATTGGATGGATTTAAAATTAGGCTTTATAATTTATTTCAATTTACTTTCTATGAGAGTATTTTAGTTTAACGATATGGATCATAAGTTTGGCTTGTTAATTTAAGTTGATTTCGGTAGTTTTTTTTTTTGTCTTTTTTAAACGTTTTAAAATTTGATCATTCAATTTTTGATTGATTGTGAATTAAGATTTATAATTTGATTTGATTTATTTTTTATAGAATTGTCTCAATCTCATGATTAAAGTTGTGAATTTAACAAATTTAACTTCTTAATATTTTAAAAAATAGAAACCGTCTTGAATTTTTTTAAATTAAATGATTTTTTTATTTGTTATTTATATTTTTTTGGATTTGTAAAGTTGATCAAGCCATATCAAATCAACGCTATATAAATAAAAAAATTTTTTTTACTAGAAAATACATTGAAAAAAAAAATGATATAATTCTAGCATATCATGGTCAATGATCTAGTCTATAACTGTGAAAGTGGATTCTCAAAGTATTATTGAAGCGGCAGGACCCATTTCCATTTCTAAAAGCATTCAAGGGAATAAAGTGTAGGGGCGTTGTATAAGGTTTTATTTTTATTTTTATTTTATTTTATTTTATTTCATGAGTGGAATATTCACAATGTCTGGTAGAAAATGGTGATTAGGATTCCTACTTATCGAACCCTAGGTCAACAAGCAAGCATCAAATGTCTGCTTGCCGTTGCAGCATACGTTTGCCATATCAAATTAAGAAACCTGAACTTGGGGGGGCATCCTAGTCGTTCTTCATGCATCTATATTACTAGTCTAGAAGTCGTATCATAATAATAATATTAATAATAAAAATAAAGTGTTCAAAGCATAAAAAGTAGATGCGTGTATTTATTATTTTGGCAATAAAATCTTCATCTCAATATCCATATTAAACATGTTCCAATTTGCTACAGTATTTTTTTATATTTATATTTATTTTTTTAATTTTTTGTTTTGCTGGAGCAATTTTTCTCCTTTTCCTTTTATTTTTTTATTGCAAATTTGTTTTTAATTAAATTGCTAGGAAATAAAATGCATGATTGATTTTTTTTATAGAGATAAATATTAGCTCAAATAAATATATATTTTTATATTAATACTTAATTTTATGAGCATATATTTTTATCATATGATTAAATAAAAATAATTTATAATGAAGTATTATTAACCTTAATAGAGTTCATGAATCGGGTCATGGGGGTTTTAATATGAATAAAATATTATTTTTATCTATATATATATTTTTTTAAAGTTAAGTCATGTATTTACTGACCATCGAGATAGTATTTAAACCCATGAAATCAATTGATTTAAGTCGAGTTATTTCTCACGCGATTTAATTGAAAAATTAAGTTAAACAAATAGCTGAGCTGAGAGGTTATAAAATTGATGCACTAAGGATGTGTTTGTTTTCTGAAAAGTGGTTTCCGAGAAATCACTTTTCAAACTTTCTTGTGTTTGTTTGTCATTACTAAAGTTGGTTAATAAAAAATACCTTCTAATTAAAGAAAAATTTGACTTGATTTTCAGAAAAGTGTTTTTTTTTTTAATTTATTTTGAGCGGAAAACACTTTTCAAAATGTGTGAAAAATTTAGAAATGCTATATTATTTGCTAATTATATTAAATTTGGTCCTTAAACTTTTGATTACTATATTTATTTTGTTTTGAATATTTGTATTTCAATTTCACCCCTTAGAATTTAATTTTTATATTAACTTTGATCCTTATTTTTATAACTGTTATTTGCTTTTCCTTTATTATTTTTTAATTGAATTTTTCTATCTATCAAATTTGATCCTCATTCTTTTTATTGTTACTTATTTCATTTTAAATAATTTTTTAATGGTAATTATTATTATTATTTTAATTTCTTCATCTTTTAAATTTTTTATTTTTTAGATTTGATCTCTATTATTTTGATTAATATTTATTTTATTTGAGATAATTTATAAAATTATATATTTTTTTAATTTCATTCTCATTTAACCTTTTAGTTTGTAAGATTTATTTTTTTATTATTTTAATAAATTTGAAAAAAATAAAATATTGATAAGTTATTTTCCAACTCATTTTCTATAACATAACAAAAAACTAGAAAATATTTTCTAACTTATTTTCCATTACACTACCAAATATCAAAAAATAATTTATTTTTATAAAATTTATTTTTTTAAAATTCACTTTTTAAAAAGAAACAAGACCTTAATTAAGTTTAATTAAAAATTACTGTATTTTTAATATTGTTTTTAAAAATTAATTCAACCTGCAGTTTAATACACTATCCGACCCATCCAACTCAGCTGCCCACTCTCTCCAGCGTCGGTCCGCCGCAATCCAAATGCTACCTGAAAAAATAAAATGGTTTGGAACATTCCCATGATAATCAAATGGGATTTTGCTAGCCAGCCATGTCGGAATTTAATTATCATAGAATAGAAGTGGTGGGATGCTTCAAAACAAAGCGCGATTGACTTGGTAATTATATATATATATATATATATTTCTTTTTTAGTTTAGATTTTTTGATAAATGTATAAGAAAATTTATTAATTATTTTAAGAAATATACCAAGTAAATATTAAGAGTGATCTCTTGAAAGATTTATCAATGTCGTTCTTTTTTTTTAAAAAAAAAAAGCAAATGAGCACATCATGTGTATAGATATACACGTGTCAAGCTTGCAAGCTCTCAGTCATGGATGCCAGTACCACCGATGCTCAGTGGTAGTCGTAGTGTTGAATCTAGACATGTATATACGCCAAGTTAATGGACGAGCGGATAGACAAAGGTTGGCATTATATATAAATCTCTTCCCTGTTGCTTTTGCATTATTGCAGAGAAGGAATCAAAATACAAGGAAGGCATTAGATGTGCATTGTGAGGAACCGATTCCAGATGCAAAATCCCACATTTATGTTCATCCTTTTTACTCAACCAAGTGTGCCTGGACTACATAAAACCTGCTCGAGTAAAGGTTTCTTTGCAACTTGGATCATTTATGACCAGTTCTAGCTAGCTAGTGTGTGATCCGCGATGCATGCATCCACATTCTATAATGATATATATATATGCCACATAACTAATTATAATAATATTCTTGGTTTTAATCTCTTTTTTTATACTTAGTAATGGAGGGAGAATATTAATAGGATTTAGCCAAAATGGCTTGTAAAAGAATCAAGTGGGGCTGGTAAAAAAAGTTCAAGCTTGAGGAATTAGTACCATGGGAGCAATGAAGCTTAAGATTTATTAATTAGCCATGTGAAAAAATAACATCTTCCCCTCATATAGAATGCCATGCATATATAGTAGAGAAGAGGATATGTGGAGAAGGAATAATAGCTGAAGAATAATTGAATAGGCATAGCTTGGTAAGAGCAGGCTTATCTCTAAACCTCTCATTCCCTTTTGGAATACCATCTGAAGAAAAGGAAAATAATGATAAGGGGAGAAAATACCATCAATGGCCCCACTCGTGCTGTCAGGGAAGAACAAGTATATAATGCCTCCCAACCCATGCACCAAAATCACCAGCTATATTGATAATCTCGCACAACTACTGTGTTAACCTCGCTGCTCTTCAGCTAATTGCTCTTCAAGGCTCAAGCCTTCCGTTCACATAAGGTTAGCTTCTTCTTCTTTTTCCTACTTCCCATTTTTATAAACGTTAAGAGGGGTAATATATAAGCAACCGCTTGTACCACGTGTTATATATATATGGGGTTCTGTGCAGCTGCAATCCAGGTTGATGAGCCCTATGATCTGGCATTCTTGCTGTATATGGTGCATGTCATAGGATAAAATGTTATAGAAAAGAAGCTAGATTCCCGTAATTAATCAAAACGCGTGTTCATATAGGTGATCTGTTCCTAGCTCGCTTAGCGGAAGGAGCATAGTAGCATATTATGACCTGAGAACTGCAATTCTATATAGCATGTTTACCATCAGATTTCAATGCCCTTGATTAGTAGCAGCTAGAACCAAGTATAAATCGAGGAAACTGATGATCAAGGTCTAATTGTCAGCATGCATGCTCATTCAGTCTTAGGCTTCGAGGACCGATGAACACTGAACAAAGGGATGGGTAAGCGTGTAATGTTTCATATATTGTTGGAACAACAATTCTATTACATTTTAGGTCCATGAGGTCTTTACTCATCAAACGCATGAAATGAAGTAGAGGAGGTCGTTCAATTGTAATAATAATTCATAAATTAATGGTATTGTGTGAATTATCCCCTCATCGTCGTAAAAAGAAGTGACATCGTAAAGTAGTTTTACTAATAATTAAGTTGCATTGTAAATGGTTGTTAATTTGTTTCGCGAATGGATTTTTCATCATTAATGGTTGTTTGTGTCGTACATAATTGTTTGTACTATAATGTTTTATAATTTTTATTTCGCGCTGTAATGCATGTCTGATTGTAACTTGTGTTTTGTACTGTAGGAGATAAAATGAGCTGGACAGCTGGAGGAGATTGGATGTGCAGCGCATGCCAGCACCAGAATTTCAAGAAAAGGGAAATGTGCCAACGTTGCGGGTACCCTAAGTACGGCGGCCCTGATCCGGCAACCTACATATGCAATGCAACAAAGGTTTTGGCTGGGGACTGGTATTGTTCCGCCATGAACTGTCAAGCTCACAACTATGCTAGCCGGTCAAGCTGCTATAATTGTGGTGCATTAAGAAATGATCATGCTGCAGGTGGGTATGGAAGCAACGCTTATGGATCTGATGGAAGTGATCCTCCTGGATGGAAAACTGGTGATTGGATTTGCACCAGGTGAGTTCACATTGTGAATCTGATTCTGGTTTAGAACACAGATAACATTACATTCCGCTGGTAACATATGTTCTTGAAAACATTATTGTGATTCTCCTGCATTTCGCACAGACGATTGTTTTCGAAACAAGGGTTGTTTTGTTTTTCACTGAAAACAGAAATGATTGTTTGAAGCGGCACAGTCACTATTGCATGGTTTTACTTTTCTAGAAGGAATTAATTATAACTGGGAGAAGTAATAGCACGCAATTAGCACTCAATGTTTGTTGGCAACAAATTATTGCTATAATTTCATGGTACCCTACTGCTTTTCTTTGATTAATAATAATCTATTGGACAGATTGGGATGTGGAGTCCATAATTATGCTAGCAGGATGGAATGCTTTAAATGCAGAACACCGAGGGAATACAGTACGCAAATTTAACTCGCTGCTTCATTTGATTTCTTTGCATATGAAAATGGTTGGCTTGAAGTTTCGGTCATGTTGAGAATTTTGTTGTTCATCTTTCTAGGTGGTGGATATTGACAGAAAGTTGTAATTACAAAGACAACGTGGATCTTGACTTCCTATGACCCTGGCTTCTCCTCAAACACTTTCTCTTGGTTCCAGTTTTGAGTTAACAATAAGCTTTAGGCTGACATTGATCCAAGGACCTTTCCCAGAAGCACAGGCATGTATTGGAGCTGAGAAATAGTCTCTGGCTTCCTTAATTGTGTTCTTGAAATCTATGAAGCTTAAGAATTTTTCCCTCCCTTTAATCGGGCATCTGCAACCAAAATCTGTATCACTTGGGGGTGTGTGTGTGTGAGTGTGGGTGTTCGTGTGATTGTTGCAACACCTGCTTTTGTGAGGTGGTCCTAGGAATGCGTAGGAGTAGTAGTGGTTGCTAAAATTAAGTGAGAATCCTTGTCTTAATCAAGGACCGCCACTACACAGGTTTGGATTCTACCAAAGTAGAAAATAACCCAAATTGATTATCCAAGAAAAAGAAAATAACCCAAATCAGACAACCATATTGAAGGAAAACAAAACTCAGACATGCATAAGATTCTAGGAATCCCTATGACATAATTTACTATGGAAGACAGGCTTTATCTCAAAGCAATAATTTACGGTCCCTTTAAGCATCAAATCTCCAAGAACTACATAATTATATATGCAGATAAGAACCTGATGCTCATTCTTTAAGAGCATAAAAGCAACACCTAGTTCAAAGTGAGTCCAGTCCAACTTTAATTCATTTCCTCCCTTTTTCCTTTCTTTTTCATGGCTCATCACAGTTTACGAAAGTGCAGCCACAAGCTCACTTGCATGCATCCTTACCAGCTAAGTCACTCAGACTTGCGCTATATATAACTCTGCTAAAATGGGAAAGGTCTCAACTAAGCTTAAAACTTCATCAACTCATTCTAGGTTCCCCTTGTTGACTTAAGGAGCAAGTTGACTCTATCTCGTTCTGTTGCTGACGTTAAGAAAATGCCCCGTTTCATGTGAACAAGTTCTCTTACTAAATGATTTGGGTCCATACTAGCTCCTGGACCAGTTGCAAATATTGAGTTATGCTCCTCTTACGTTTCTGTAGTTTTTCCTATCTAAATCGAGCAAAGATGTCTGATCAAGGAGCATCTGATGTAAATGATACACGAGCTCAAAGATAATGAACGTAAAAGAGAGATTCAGCAGGCCGTTCTTCACTGATTCTGTAAACTTTGTCCTTCGCTACGCGGGAAAAAATGCCTGCTCTAGGAGTCCGCTTATTTTGCTTTATGATGCTCAGACTCGGAATCCAAGCATATTCATATCTGATTAGGCTGTTTTTCTTCTTCTTTTTTTCATGTAATTAAAGTGTCCAAGTGTGTAATGTCACAAGTACTCTTAAGGAAAAATAAAGGATTGAAGCAACATACTTTTGCTTTTAAAACATGAAAATATAGATATTTTTATTGAAAAAAAAAATCTTCATATACTTGCATGTTGATCAATTAATAATATGAAAAGCTTCCTGGTGAAGAAAATGATGATGATAAAACTTGTAAGACGATGTAGGGTTTAATTGAGGGTAAGGTCATTGGCCTACAAATTCTTGGAACCCTTGATAGAAGATATTCTTGAAGATACTCCACTCTGCTCTAAACTTTCAGGGTGTCAATACTATGATATGCAAAACTCAAGCAAATTAAATAATAATACAAAATAAAAAGGATTTGAAATATAAAATGGTTCAGCAAAGCCTACTTTACAAAACTTCACTATCAAATATTGAGGTTTACAATCACAAATCAACCACACATGGACACCTCACTCTCCAAAACCTATGGCCATATTATATCCAAAATCACTCATTAGAAAATACCAAACTAATTCTTTTATTGACAAAATCACAAGAAAAGGTGGCCAACTCTATATTATTGTCGTCCCTATCTCTTTTTTCTGCAAGATAAACACACACAAAAATATCAGTTTCAGACTACACAAATCCATATCCAACTAGAAAATATATGTCAAGCCAAAGTTCACATCTTATTCAAATTATATAAGGGTTTTCTTAGGAATAGAGCAATTTCTTTACTTAATTAAATTCACCGATCAATTCAAGCCACCTTATTATTCATTTTAAGCCGTAAGTTCCAACAAATCGTCTTAAATTGGGACAAATTATCTTCTACTTAAGGCTTATTTTTTAGAAGTATGCAACTCTACTCTTCTTCACCCATATTTTCTTGTTCCTTGCAAATTTCTTTGTACAAAAAATCTTCATTACCACTATCCGTCATGGTAATATTCACTCCGCGGATGCAACTGATGCTGTTTTAATACTTAAATGTACACTTCATTGCATGCAGCTAGTTCCATATTGAGCTACACTTCTGATCAGATTATTACCACTAGAAAAATAAAAAATATTGACAGAATATTTTACTTGCCGATGGAATCGACAATAAAAACCTGTCATTAAAAAGTGTCTCATCGAGAATTTTTGTTCTGTCAACATTTCCCTCATAAATTGAAAATGCTAATGGAATAGTTGTCAAAATAGTCCCACCAAAAAATTAGATTTTGTCGCCTATTTTTCATTGACAACTTATTTTCTGTATAACATTTTCCGCATGTTCCATCAAAAATCCCCAAACATTATATATGGTATTATCAAAAGTTTCAGAATGCGTGTGAAGATTCCAGTTAAATTGCCAATAGATATTCCAAAAAATTTCCTTTTTTCGATGAAATCGTTGGTATTTTCATAATTTTTTTGGTTTGTTGTTATAATTTTCAAGCCTACAATTATTGTATAAATACACAACAATAACCAATCAATAAATCATAACTATAATTCATAATAAACCATAACAATAACACATATCTAAAATAAAATGTACAAATACAAAGCTCATATTTGATATGGAAAGAGACTAGATTAGATTCCTTATATATATAAATACCTTATATAGGAATAGTTATCATTTGTAGTATATTCCACTCTAATATTGTGTATAACCCTAAAGGTATAAATACAAGGATGGTTGTAGTTCCTGAAAATAGCGGATAACGATACTCCGTGACTTAAATCGTTCTTTTAGTTTTCTATAATAACTGATATTCGTGTATATATTTATGCAATCCTTTGCTCTTTCTCACTTCTTTGAATCTTTTCTCCAGTTCTCATTTGAAAATGAACATTACTTTTGAAAAATTAAAAAAATATTTTCCTGTTCTGCCTCAGAATGTGATTACAAAATTTATCATGCTAGATGTGCAAGATTGAGGTTGTCAATGAATCATGAAATTCTTGAAGATATTCATTGGCTAATTGAAGCAAAGGTCCGATTATTAGGTGAGTGCTCTAACTTTTTCATTTCACATATGCCTGAAATAGGTAAAAGCATTTTCACAAAGAAACGTCGTGTAAAACGACTGAAAGCCTATCACAGATGTGCCAAACGGACTTGTAATTCAACATATTGTCCTTTAGAAATGATATCTGTAAACTGTGAAGATAAAATATAATTCATTAAGGATAGTCTGAGTAAGGGATTTTTACATAATCTTCTATTGACTCTTGAGACGCATTATAGTGGAGATGTGCATCGTGCAATTCATGATTTATGACCATAATTTCATAAAGAACATAGTCGACTTAGTCTTGAGAATGTGACTATAAAATACCATGTTTACTAGTTTTTAAGAAAACTGGATAAAAAGCCTATCCCCGACCCATAAAGGGTGTTTAAGCCATTTTTGGATGTAAAATGAAGAGAAGGTGTGAACCACAATCACAACTATCTATCCATACACATGTTTTTTTAAATAAAAATAAATAAATAAATAGAGAGAAAGTGAGACTCTAGTTGGCCTATATATAGGTGGTATGATTGCATTTTCAATTTCTCATCTATGGAATCTTCTATTCTTTCCCTTCATTTTTACTCATCCCATACATTCAATAAATATAGAAGTGTGAAGAAATGACAGGTCCCTCAAGTCATTACATAAGAAATATTTGTGTTTTTGGTGGATCCAATTTATGAAGGAAATAGAGTTGTTAGAATCATCAAATCATCTTGGTTAGGTGATCTAGGCATATTGGAAGAGATTTTTTATATTTTCTCTTGGGCTTAACTGCACATTCACCATAAACTCATAGGTCTATTAAATGTTAATAGTTTTTATGATAAGTTGCTGTCTTTTCTTGATCATGCTGTGGATTAAGAATTTCTAACATCTTTGGCAAGAAAAATCATTATCTATGCTGCTACTATTAAACAATTGATTGACCAACTACAATCCTTCACCTCTATAATTGATCCCTCCATGAGTCGTATAAATTAGTCAACTAAAAAAAGCCATAAAAATCTTAGATTGGATTTGAGCCTTTGTTTATGAATCCTTGTGTCTTTTGGTTTTATCAATAGCAAATTATTTTGTTTTGTTATTTCTTATATTTTTTTAAGTATGTTTCAGGTTTGTCAGTGTTCGGTGTTTCAGGTGATGTCTTCTATACTCTATCTTTCTACCTTAAAACATTGAGGATAATGTCTTATTTTGGTTGGGGGGAAAGGGTAGTAATTGATATAAAAAAATAACTAACTATGTTTTCTATTTCATAAACCATTTGACAAAACTGTTATTAGGATGACAGAGTAAGGACGAATTTTATTGACTCTTGACACGCATCTTGGTAAACAATTTTCAATGGGTATTGCAATATTCATAGCAAGGTCTATCATATACTGATTAGTACTTAAAAGTGTATTTTTTTTATTAATGTTTTATGTTATTATTTCGCACTTGAAGTATCAATAACTTCTTAACTAAAGCATGTTTTATAATAATATATCTAATAATATAAGATACCTTTAATTT